TTGGAAGATTTCATTTTATTTTTTTAAATTTCGATAATTAGGACAATCATAGAACATTACAATGTAATTATTAAAACTTACATTAGCCACAATATTATCAGAGACTATGTTCTGTAAATTAAAAATAACCGTCAGTTTACTTGCATAGTGGTAGGTCCTCTTTTTGGTAACAATCAAGATTTTCATTCTAAAACTTGTATAAAGAATCTGCTTAGTGTGAATCGTTCATATTAGTAGTTTTATGCTACAGACAAAAATTCATCGAGTTTAATTGGTTATTATAGAAAATTTTCGTAGTAACAAGTTTTGTACGTAGTATATAGTATGCATGCAGGGTTAAGTATGACTGCCACTAACGCACTGCAATGCATGAGTGGCCGTGCGTATGTGTTTCATATGGTATTTACAACGCTATGCATATTTATAGGCGTTCATTTACGTCATGCTCATTTTTTTAACATGTGGAAGGCCAATTTCTTTTCCCATATAATTTATACTACCATTTGCGGATACTACAACTGTGTTTTTTTGGAAAACATCAGAAACCTTGCCTTCTATCTATACATCTATACATATAAATAAAATTGGAGTGTCTGTTTGTAATATTGAAATAACAGTTTTTTACTACATGCATATGAATATAAATGCGCTACATACACGAAAATAATATTTTTTACAATTTTTGTCTGTCTGACTGACTGTTTGTTCCGGCTAATCTCTGAAATGGCTGGACCGATTTTGGCGGGACTTTCTTTGGCAGGTAGCTGAAGTAATAGTAAAGTAGTAGTAGTAACTTAGGCTACTTTTATTTTAGAATAATAAAGATAAATTCCACGCGAACGAATTTGCAGGAACAGCTAGTAATAAATAAAATAAGAATGTACCTGAATAATAGCACAGATAACATAATATTACATATAATAGCTTTGAAATATAAACGTGTTGGCAATTAGTTGGTAAGTTTATGTTGTATTAATTGAATAAATAAATAAATAAATGCTACGTCTATGCTCATAATAGAGTCTAATCACGACAAATTTCATTAAGAGCTATTCAACTGTTTAGTCGTGAAAATATAATAAACAGACAGACTGGCTGTTTAAGTGACTGCCGCCGTCCTTGAGAACCCGCAATGAGTTGATGGCATTTTAAGAATATGCTCTTTCCTTATAAGTTTCGATATCCAAGTATTTCAAGCGTATTGTAGGTGTTTAGCACTATGGTTTATTTCCGATGTTTGAGGCTTCGATACCTCGCAAGATGCAAACATGAATGTGAAATATATATAATATTACTTTATATTATGTAATATTATGTTATCTGTGCTTTATATTCATTAGACATTGCTCTGGGTGTTTTCTATGTAATTGTATATTTAAATTTTTGACAGCCCCGGTGGTTTAGTGGTTTAACACACCGCTTTACATCCGATGGTCGCGGGTTCGATGTAAACATTTGATTCATGAGTATGATTGTTTGTATCGGTCTGGGTGTTTTCATATGTATTATATAAATATACGTATAACATATGTATTTAAAAAAAAACATCAGTTGTCTAGTACCCACAACACAAGCTCTGTTTACCGTGGAACTAGATGACGCCGTGTTCATTGTCCCGGGTTATTAATTATTAATTATACATATTTCTATCAATCTTCTAAAACCCATAGCACCAACTCTGCTTAGCTTGGGACTAGATGGCGCTGTATGAATAATTGTAAGATATTTAAGTACGGAACCCTAAAACTACGTCGTGTGTTTAACTATAATTAATTCCCCTTTGTTTATAGAACTGATTGTTCATAAATATATTTTTCTTTTGACAATAATTATGAAGACAGAGGGAAGTAAACAGTTGTTAAAAATTATTCTTTTGGGGTGCACGAAGACTCCATGCGTGACTTATATGAAAATATTACACAGAATTAGCCGTGAAGGGTTGTTTTTTATAGATGATTGGCTGGTATACGTGACTCCGTCTGATTTTTTAAAAAAATATAGCCTATGCTCATTCTCGTTACACAATCTATCTTTAATTAGATTTCATCAAAATCCGTTCGGCCGTGAAAAGCTAAGAAAGAGATAGAAAGACATTTTCGAATCTGCTTATATTAAAACAGAGTCGCTGTCGCTGTCTGTCAGTCCCTATGTATGCTTAAATCTCTAAAACTACGCAACGGATTTTGAAGCGGTTTTCTTTAATAGATAGAGTGATTCAAGAGGAAGAATTATATGTATAATACATGATGATTATGATGAAATATGAACCCGCCTCCGCTTACTGTTTACATTGCTGACCAGTCATGAAATAATGAGAATAAAAAAAATATTGTCTTTGCAGATAAAAAATATTAAAATTCAAATAACCCTAAATAAACGCAGTATCGTTTCTAAACGAGTTGTCATTCGTGACGTCCACTTTTACATAGGCTATTAGGTATAATAAGAAAATCAATAGAATTATGAATCACCGGCTTATGATGGAAGTTTGTACTAGATAACTGTGTGTATACACAAAAACACGACGTGAATATAAATTGTTTGATATTTTTTTTTTATAATTGGAACGGCAAAAAAAACAGACTATACACCTGATGGTAAGTGATAACCGTCGTTTATATGCATGAACAGCAGTGCGATCATTACGTTATCATGACACTGATCATTGTTGTCATTCCGGAGTACTAAGCACTAACACAGCTTACAAACCAAATTGTTTCTTTTGGTAAGGTAGGTACGTTAGAAACGGGGATTTTTATGGATGATAATGGAATGGAGCATCCGCCTGCGCTAACGGTTTACGCTTGCGGAGCACTAGTGGAGGATGATAAGATGAGCATGAGGTCAGGTCAGTTAGCCCATCGTGACCAATTCACCAGGAATTTACCACGATAGTTTCCAGGGGGAACCGCGTGGAGGTCAACCTGACATGGTGCATAGCTAGCAATGGGGTCATCAGTCCACATTACTAACAATCCCCTTCCGCCCAAAAACGAGGATTAGTAAGCCCTATTGCTAGCATGTAAGGTATATTTATTAATATATCGCTCCTCAGAATATCAATAAATTCTTGTTCTTGACTAGTCTAGGCAACGAATTCTGAAAAAAAAACGAGCACAATACATATCCGCAGGTCGCAGTGCTATAGTTCTGCAACACCCTGTAAAAGCCCAAAGCCCTCGATAAAAGAAAACAGTACCTATATTTAGTTCTGTCGATTTCTACGCGATCCCACCTCTAAACCATCGTGGTACCTGGTGAATTCGCCAGCATGTTAACTGACCTGACTTCAAGGTCATTCTATCACACTCCACTGGTGGCCCACGTGTACGATCCTCAGGAGGTAACGGTATACCATTAACAATCTATTTGGCATTTGAAATAGTTGACTAAGATACGAAGATGATTTTTGGTCTACCTCTGGTAAAGACGACAAAAAATATTTACTAGCTGGAATTTTGTCATAAACTCAACTAAAGTTGATTTGGCGCATAAATTGTAAGAAGAGAATGCCCGAACACGACCCTACAGATCGGGTGCTAAATCGTGAGGCCGATCTACGATAACGTAACCTGGAAAGTTTATCAGAACTTAACATCTGCCTCGACTCATGCCTACACTTGGGAGTTCGTGTCGCAATAGCACAGTTTTGCGAAAAATGTTTTTCTTATGGTAAGTAGATAGTTCGCTGTTCACCATATATAAAGCTATTTCTGCCACTTCATTCCAACTGACTTCAAAACAGAAGGGGCTCTAAATTGCATATTTCTATGAAGGTTATGTTTTTTTAGGTTCTGTAGCAAAAATCTAAAACGGACCACACTACGTACTATTTATTATACATATGAGAATACCTACTGAGTTAAATTTAGCATTTAGTAATTATCCGTTATATGTCTTAATACTTCATGATCGTCGATCTTGTTCGTTAGTAATGGGAGACTCCATTAGTAACGAACGAAGATCAAAAATTCTCACTCTCTCAATTGCGACAAGTTTTTCTTCGACAGTTTTTTTTTCGACAATTTTGAGCGCAGACGCGTACGATTGGTGATAACTAGATAGATCCATCCATAAATTATCTTTCTATTGCTATTGTTGTGTACCTCCGTACCATACCGTCGTGTCGTTTTTTAAACTGTTCACTGTCCATATGTGGAGATTATACGAGAAAAACTATTATTGGAAAACTTTATCAACCTAATGGAATCCAAACGAAGATTATGATGATGATGTTACAATTTATCAGTGCGTTTGTACGCGATGCGATGTTCAAAAATATATTGTGTTAAGTTTCGTTTAAAATGTATTGTATATTTTAATCTAATCGGTTAACAAACAAAACATATTATTATACGGTTACGAGGTCCCGGGTTCAGCTAATATGCTAATATACCTCAATGCAAATGTAAAGGCAGGCATATGTATGACGTTGTACAATATTTTTAGACCTAACGCCTACTAGGAGCTTTCTATAGAAAAGCTATAAAAACGAGCTACTAAATACAATTAGGTAGTTACTAGCTCTCCGTCGAACATCCACCCCGAATGGTATCATGGTATGCACGGAGTATTCTGACGAGCAGCTTCCACCTGGTGAGAAGGAATTAAAAGGATAGGTTAAGGATTGGAAGGAAGGGATAAGGTAATAGTGGTGCCAATTTTCCGAGTCCAGGTTTAGCAATATCCTCACTAGAAAATACTCTACGCAATTACATTCTGATTGACTAAAGCGCTGATCCTACAGGCCTGTTACAACAATATCCGACATCACTGAAATCTCTACATTTTCTGTATTATCACCGAATGAAAGATCAACGTCTTTAACTTTTCTTAATTTCGTAATTACTTCATTCAATTCATGATTGTAGTATTTTACGAGAAAAGCAGTATCAAGGTAGTGCTGTAATAGGACTACAGCAACATTTCTTTCAATTATGTGTCCCAAACGAAATTCTATGTTCAGTAGTATAAAATAAATAATAATTTACAATACGCACTGATCATCCTAGCAAAGCCGAAGTCGCACAACTTCACCACGCCTTCACTGGTCAGCAGGATGTTCTCCGGCTTCACGTCGCGGTGTATGCAGTTGTGCCGGTGGCAGTATGCCACTCCTTGTAGCGTCTGCCAGATGATCTGCTTCGACAGCAGCTCGGGGCAACCCTGGGGAATGGTGGACTTGGGTAATATATTAATTCGATACAGAAATCAAAGTGCACCAAAATTAAGGCTGCATGTCCCTGACCTCTCTCCGTACAAAACGTGCTTCCCCGATCCCTCTCCATACAAAATGTAGGATGTTTTCTATGAAATTTTTTTATAGTAATTAAAGTCGATGAAATCTTATCTATATGATTAGGAAACTAATATCAACGTTTCACACGAGCCTTTATTTCTTTAAACAAGTTTGTATTAGAGTTACACGAAAAAGTCGATTTTCACCAATAAAAGGTAAGTTTGTTCTTTTCTACATTGAAAGAAGAAACCAAGTTCTTCATACAAAAGAGCTAAATATAGGTATTTAGCTAATTCGTATGTACAACCAAAGACATTATAAAAATATGCAATACATTGAAATTATAATGAATTTCCAGAATAACAAAAAAATACCTTAATGTTTACTCTATTATTACAGTAAATACAAAGGTATTTTTTTGTAAATCGAGTAGAACGGAAAGTAAATATTTAAATTTCCATTCAAATTTAAAGGGAAGGGAGACGCAAGGTCTCGGAAAAGAGATAGAACGAATACTATATATAAATTGTAATATAATGCGTGGACACACTCCTCTTAATTTATAAAATTATAGAACAATGAAGCCTGACAATAGTACGGAGGAAGTTTGCTAGACCAATTTGCGCAAACAATGATAATAAACGGAATGCCCCCGCGAGGTCAGACGACCTGTTAGCACATCAGCTAGTGTCTGTGGCGAAAGACTCTGTGGATTTACGCCTTGTAAATATGGCGTATTATGTTAATGAATGTAATCTATACATAAAAAAAGAATTAATTTCTAGCGAATACGGCACGAAAGAATTTAAGGCGACGCCTTCGGTGGTCTAGCAGTTTAGCATACCGGCTTAATTCCGATGGTCGCGGGTTCGATTTTTACACGCTACCTTCATAAGTGAGATTGCATTGGTTTGGAAATTTTGTATAGACGATGTATGTATTGACAAAGTACCATTTAAAGTAAGTTTTATCCGTTGTTTAGTATTGACAGTTCAAGCTCTGCTTAGTTTGTGACTAGACATCGCTATTTGTGCAGAGTTATTATTATTATTGAGTTTTTTAGTATCCACCTATAAAACTGTGCTTGTTTCAGACTAGACGTGTCTAACTAAATTGTCCATGATTATTAATATTATTATTCTGGCACGTTGTCAGTATGACCTCAACGTGGCTGCACCTGGAAACTATCCCTATGGAAACATCCCTGCTACATAAGGTTACCTGACCTGACCTCATCCTTCTTATCATCCTCCACTAGTGCCCAGCCAGCAAACCGTTAGCGCAGGCGGGGGAGCCATTCTTACTTCCTTATTTATTTATTTATTTATTAGAAAACCAACAGCTTACAATCTAATACATTAATCAAAAGTACATATCTAGAGAAAGCCAATAACAGGTTTTCAGTGAATTAGCAAAAGAAAATAAAACAGAACGTGGCAAATTATCCTTACTGATTTTGTAAATACGAAAGTAACCCTGTCTGTCTCGCTTTCACGCCAAAACTACTGAACCGATTTAAATGAAATTTTGTATACAGATAATGTCGACCCTGAGAAAGCCCTTAGGAGCAAAAAAAGGGTTGTAAGGGGAGATGAAAGTTTGTATGGGAGTATTTTAAAGCTAGAAGCTTGAAACTTATATTTTAGGTTATTGATTGATTATAAATAAAGAACAAGGATTGTAAGGGGTTGCAAGGGTAAGGCAATGAAGGGTTATATGGAAGCACTGTCATTTTTAAAGCTAGAAGCTTGAAACTTACTTTTAGACTGTTGATTCAATATAAATAAATATGACATTCTAAGTATGTAAAAATATTACCTTTAAGGGGGTAAAATAAAATAGGGGATAAAAATTTGCATGGAAATTCGTCGTTTTTGAAGCTACAACGATGAAACTTTTTCATTGCCTTTTTTTATAGATTATTGAATATTCTTTCTTTATTTGATCAAGGTCACTATAATAAGCGGACATAGTCGCGGGCACAGCTAGTTCTATATAAAGTAATTAGAGAAATACTTTCAATTGTAGCGAATATGTCATGAAATATAAAGCTGAAAATGTAGTCAGTAACTCAGTAACTCGAGGGTCATCGCCCGAGTATTCGCTATATGTAAATAACAGCTTTACAAAAAGGCCGGTGGTCTGTGGGTTTGAATCGATATTAATCTGATAATATATTGTATTTAACGGCCTCGGTAGCCTAGTGGTTAAGCACACTTTATTTCCGATGGTCGCGGGTTCGATTCCTCGCACTGTATATAAACATTCGTATTTATTAGTAGCCATTAACATATGTATTCATGTGTATGATTGTTCGTATCGGTTTGGGTGTTTCGTATGTATATTAGTAGTCTGGTTCCAATAACACAAGCTCTGCTTAAATTGGGACTAGATGGCGCTGAGTGAATTGTCCAAGGATATTATTATCGTTATATTTCGTCAATTTGGTGCTCTACGTACCTACATCGTAGTATTTTGCCAGATATACGCAAGCCAAAATCTTGTACAAACGTGCACGAGGATTCTTGTATCCCTATTTATTTGAAAAAATGTACTAAAATAATGTACATAAGGTTTAAAATGCATGTATAGGATAATTTAATAGTTTATGAATAAGGTAGTGACAGTAAATAATTTACTACAGTGTATATAATAATAATAATAATGATAATCTCAGGACAATTCACACAGTGCCATCTAGACCTTTTTCTATATATTTATATATTATTTCATGATTTTTTCAGACTACTCTAATGCTGTTGGCCGCATCTGGCCTTTAAAGCTTCACCGGACAATAGGGGGCGAGTGCAGATGGCACTCCAAACCCGCGGAAAGACTTATGGAGCAGCTGAAGGCCAACTCCCGCCTGACGGATACGACTTTAGTCTGAGGGCACCGCTAGAGGTTCGAACTTCGACTCAGGCCGTCGTAATTTGGATACTCGTTTAAATTGGATATTTCGAGTTTCATGTAACATACAGTTGAAAATGTAGTCAGTAACTCAAGGGTCATCGCCCGAGTATTTGCTATATGTAAATAACAGCTTTACAAAAAGACCGGTGGTCTGTAGGTTTGAATCGATTTTAGCATTAATTATACAGGGTCCGTTGTATAGGGTATGGCCGAAACAAAGGCTAAGTAAAATATCTACACTTGAAACGGAACCGTTTTCGACAAGAAACAAAGCTGAAATTCAAAACTTTCTAGTGACTACACTTATTGTGAAATGCACTACCTGCCGAGGTTTTCTTGCATACGGGTTTTCAAGAAGGATATATTAACGTATTATTGATATGTTACGGAAACCGTTTACCATCAGATAGGCCATATGTTTGTTTGGCACCATCATAGTATAAAAAAACGGTTTATATGAAGTAGTGGTGACCCTGAGGTCGAATTTCGACCATAATAAAAAATACAAGATCTTTAAATACAGGGTGGCAGTAAGGGGAGGTAGTAGGTATCCTTATTACTACCATGTATTTGTTACCATCAAAAAGGCCTTATGCTAGTTTGGCACAATCATAGTATAAAAAAAACGTTTTATATGAATAAATGATGACCCAGAGGTCAAAATACGATCATAATAAAAAATACAAAAAGATGTTTGAAGGGTTACAGTAATTAACGGTTGTCCTTACTACTACCCTGTAGTTGTAATTATACTGTACAAAATTCCACAGTAGTTTCTTATTAATCTAGATAAGGAATAAAAACATCAGGGTAGTATTTACCGTCATTAACCCTATAACCTCCGCAGGGTCAGGGTCGCCTGCCAACCCTCGCGATATAAATAGATCAGATATTGAGACTGTTGGTAGAGACACGCGAAAACGCAAGTAGAAATCATGAAAACAAGAACTAAGTACCGTGCTGACGTAGATCCCATTTGTTTCTAAAGCACCTAAATACACAATATTTGAATAATTTCAAAGTAAATAAATGTGAAATAAAACATATCATGTTGACGGGCTCAATGGTCTAGCGATTTTTCCGATGGTCGCAGTTTCGATTCCTCGCACACGACACAAACATTTGTATTCATGAGTATGATTGTATCGGTCTAGGTTAGTTTACACTAGACCACCGAGGCAGTTAAATAATATATTTTATCATATTTGGAGTATTGATTTTCAAGGTGAAAACCCTTAAAGAATTTGCTAATGGTCCCTCGTTGGCACTGCCTAGATGTTGTAGATTACATTAACCTACACAGGATATTGTTATAATTAATTTGTCATCGGTTATTTAATTTATTTTCCTGCTTTCACTCTTTATTATCAAACTTGTGACTGCTAAATGAACTAGTGGTTGTGAGGATTTAGGAGTGATGCAAGGACCCTACATCACATTAGCTATTTTCTTAGAGAAACCTCATGGAGACCCGGGGGAAGCAAGCGGGTACTGTAAAATTCATAATCACTAAAAACTTCAAGATGTCATTCAGCGCCATATGCCGGAGTCACGGGATCAAAATTATAGTCCACTGCGACTCCGACGGACCACTCTAGTAGTAAGCCGCATCTCGGGCTCCCTATATGGAACCCACTAAATCACATAGTCTAATCCAAACAGTCGGTAGGAAGGGATTGTTCGTAATGTGAACTTTACCACATTGCCAGCAATGTAATATGTCAGGTTGACCACCACGCAATTCCCCTGGTAACCACCTGGTTAAATTCGTGGTGAATTTGCCACGATGGGATAACTGACCTGACCTCATGCTCATCGTATCATTCACCACTAGTGCCCCGTCAGTGTAAACCGTTAACGCAGGCAACTGCACCGTTCCATTATCACAAGACTAACTAGTAAATTAACTAACTATGTAGTAAGGACATCAATGACATAATGTTATATTGATACTTATTTAAGTAACATGTAACTTCTTGTTTAGGAAATCTATTTATACAGATAATATAAATACTTTAACATATAATTGAATGAGATTTAATTTGATAGGTAGATATGTGTATAAGTAACGTATTGGATACAAGCATTCATGCACCGGAGTGTAGTAGATACTTTTAAATATAAATTTACATTACACAGCTCCCAATAATATACCATACATATAAGCATTCCAACGATAAATCCATTCAAAACTTCTTTACTTCATTAATTAAGTGATTCGTATAATTAAACTAGTTGGTTAAGATGGACTTATACTCCGTGTTGAGTCTAATTATCTTTTATAAGATGCATGTAATTGCGTTAAAAGAATTGATTGCTAATTACTGGTCTTTAATTTCTTGAAATATACTCGTAGTTCCAATGTACGTATCAAAAATTTTTTAGATATTTTCTTTAACAATATATCACAAATTTATGGAGAAAAAATATATCTTTGATGGAGAAAGACCATCCATAAAAATCATCACATAACCTCCAAGTAGTTATTGTTGTGAACTCTGATTCGTGTTACACGGTCAATGTAACTACTTGAGGTTGATGCTTTCTTGTTTGTAGAATGGGTACCATACGGTATCTATATAAAGTCAAGTTTACGCACATCATTTGATGACCGACTTGCCTAGTTAGCAAAGTCTCTTATTGGAAATGTATGGCTGTTTGAAATCAATTGATAAATATAATTGGACATAAATAAAAAAATGACATACTATTGTAATTTTACTGAGTAATTTAATTTACTGAGATTCTATATAGTACAAAATCGTCGGAAGGTGACGGTGACTTTCTCTCGCATATTTCTGTTTGTAAAATATGTTTTACTTAAGGTGAGATATAGTGTGATTTTTTTATAATAATGGATAATTCACACAGTGCCATCTAGTCTCACGCTAAGCAGAGCTTGTGTTATATACTAGACATCTGTTACAAACACTTAAATACATTTTTGTAGATACATACATACTATACATAGAAAACACCCACACCAAAACAATCAAATTCAGAACTTAAAATTTTTGTACCGTGCGATGAATTGAACCCGCGACTATTGGAAGTATAGCAGTGTAGTAAACCGGTAGACCACCAAGGCCGTCAAATGATATGGTACGGAGATTTTTTTTCTGACTACTCTAATGCCGTAAGCCGTAGCTGGCTTTTACAGCTTCACCGGACAATAGGCGACGAGTGCAGATGGCACTCCAAACCTTCGGAAGGATTTATGAAGCCGCTGAAGACCAACTCCCGCCTGACGTATACGATTTTAGACTCGAACCTCGGCTCAGGCCGAGTGTAGTTTCTATACCCATTAGAATTGGACGAGGGATCGATTGAAGGGGCGGGTCTATGGTGCTGTGCCTATTTATACTCGTAGACACTTTGGTACATAAAAAAAAATCTTTTAGAAAATGGCAAAGTCCATGCGGCAGATAAAACAAGTAGTCTAGATAAAAAATAGAATTTATAATGAATGATATACTCACTGCGGGATACTTTTCCAGCTCATGCAGCACTGTGTGGTCGCAGTACTCGAAGACCAGATGCAGCTTACGTTTCCGACGGAATACCTCGATCAGATTCACCAAGTTTGGGTGCTTTAGATTCTAGAAGAAAAAAAAACTAAAGTAAATTTCTAATTAATTACTAAGGATACTGTAGCATATATATAGCAGCTATAGCAATCATTGGGTAACCCCAAATATTAGAAATAGAAATAGAAATATAAATAATCTTTATTTAAGTGAACTCAATACAAGCACTTTTGAATAGTCATATTTATTCTACTACTCATTCAAAAAGCAGATTCATCACAAGAAGAATGAGCAACACACAAGTTTCTTACTTGTGTGTTGCTCTTTTGAATAGATGTTTTTTTAATAAATAATTATACAATAACAAGTACGAGGCGTGCGATTATCAATATAGAAACCGCTACACACTCATTATTAACAATTATATTCTAAGCTATTTTATAAAATAATTATTAGTTTAGTGTTTTTTTTTATTATAAATATAACGTGTAATGTATACCACTGATTTTGACATAAATTAAGTCCTATATTTAATTAAAAAAGGTTCTTAAAAATATACTATTGCTGGTCGACCCCGTGAACTTCGTTCCGCCCCAAAATTAATTATATCGCAGGTTTTTTGAAGTTTAGTTACGCAATTAATTTCTGAACGCAGTTTGTGTGGGGAAATAAAAATGTTGTTTTTGCTATTTTACATCCAATTTCTTCATATTTTATCACCGCTTAAACCTTCCCTGGATTTCCACTAATATTTCAAGACCAAAATAAGCCAAATCGGTTCAGCCGTTCTCGAGTTTTAGCGAGACTAACGAACACCAATTCAGTTTTATATATATAGACGGTAAAATATTGATATTTAACTAAAAACTATATTATTATATTTATGTAACCTTTTAGGTATCAATGTCAATCTAATCAGTAGACACAGTCATATATTTTCCCTGAACAATTCACCCAACGTTGTTTTATGGATTGGGTACTAGACAATTCATATGAATACCTAGATTTTTTTGTGTAAATATTTGTATAGAGTATGCAATAAACACACGCAGACCAATACACACAGTCATACTAATGAATACAATTGTTTGTACCGTGAGGAAGTGAACTCACGACCATCGGAAGGTTTTACTATGTATCTATATGTAATATTATCTTACCTATACTGTGATTCTCTTAAAGCATGTAATAGTGTTTTAGGGGCGTGTATTAGCGTAAACTAGATTGTAAAATGATTTTATAACAGTTACAATAAACCCTACAAAGCAATATATATAAGCGCGCGGGACTAGATTTTCCAGACACGAACTATAAGTATGCAAATTACACAAAGCTGTGGCGAGCCCTAGTAATGGAACAAACTGGATTTGCTTTCACATTTATAATCAGAGAAAATACAATAGCATTTGAAAATAGAGTTTAGATGGATGAAGGTTTCAAGTTGTCAGGCTATGAGCCAGCGACCTCTATTGTATTTCCATGTTAAACTTTAGGTATTGTATAGAGAAATACGGAAGATGAGATTGTGTCCTTGATTAAATACATATATTTTATAATCTAACCCAAAAAATCCAATCCCAAAAAAGTTTCATACGTCCAGCTTTAAAATTGACCATACAATCATTCTCTGGGGGGACGGTGGTTGTTAGTAATATGGATTAATAACCCCATTGCTAGAAAGTACCATGTCAGGTGGACCTAGTAGCGGTTTACCCTCGAAACCATCATGTTAAATTTCTGGTGAATTTGCCACGATGGGCTAACTGACCTGACCTTATGCTCATCTTAACATCCTCCAGTGGTGCCCCGCCAACGTAAACCGCGCAGGCGGGGGTACATAATTCCATTATCATCAATAAGAAAAAACTTTCATCTCCTTAAGGCTAAAATTATCCAAATTTGAAAAGTCATATTTATTTATATTTAATCAACAGCCTACAAATATGTTTCAAGCTTCCTTAAAAAGTTAAATATTAGTGTTAGTTGGTAGTTTCTATTCACACATTTCAACTTAAAAAGTAAAATTACAATAATTATTTAAAAGAGCAACTCGAAAGTTTCTTGCTCATTCTTCTTGTGATGAGGTAGCTTTCCGAATGAACGGTAGATTAAAAAATAACTATGACTAGAGATAAAGTGCGCAATATAAGTTTGTTTGAATAAAGAATTTTCTTTTCTCTTCTATTCTACGTATATGGAGATGAGACAGCGTTCCCAATGAGCGGTAGATTTAGAAAAATAAGTATAACTTATCAAAAGTGCGTAAGTCACGTCTGTGACGCTGTTTTAGGTTAGTAGAGTCCACTTTGTAGAGTCTACCTTGACACAGTACCTACACCCTACAGTCGTGTTTATGACTGTTTACGCTACGTTTTAAAACATTTTAACCCCCACCCATAAATGCTAAATACCTATTAACTGCCTTACAATGCCACAGGTGACGACCCAGAAACCAGGTGTTGATAAAAGAAATAATTTAACATACTTTATAACGATCGATAGAGTTCAACCTATTATCATAGTAGCGAGGTGACGGAAATCGATTACCGTTGTCACAATTTGCTTTTGTAGTGCACTTTAAACATATGAATAGGTAATTGATATCGGAATGTGGGTCTATTCATATTTATACTCATATGTAGTTGGTAGTTTGTATTCACACATTTCGGATTAAAAGTGTAAAGTTACAACGATTATTTAAAAGAGCAACGCTTAAAGTTTCTTGCTCGTTTCGTTTGCCGAATGATCGGTAGATTAAAAAAATGACGAGTGATAAAGTGATTAAATTAAGTTTACTTGAATAAAAAAAAATCTATTCTGTTATATATAAGTGCCGGTCTATCCACGCATGCACTCCATATGTCAATGTTGCGCATTTAGCCCTTTAAGGGCTCAATTTACTAATTTACCCTTTCTCTGATTATAATAGTAATAATATACAAATCAAATAAAATCAAAATATATTTATTTAGGTAATACATACCATATCTCTATTATACATATGATATGTCAAATCTATCGTCAATTCGGAGTGGTTTCGAACTAAGACGAAATGACAGACTAGAAATTCAGCACTTATTCTTTTCAAATGAGTTAAGGGTCGGCACCGGGATACACTTTTAGGTATCAATGTCAATCTAATCAGTAGATACAGTCATATATTTTCCCTGACACTCCTGGTGTTTCAGGCGTCCATAGGCTACGGTAACCATTTACCATCAGATGGGCCGTATGCATGATTGCCACCTTCGTGGTATCAAAAAGAGCATATTGTGCTAGTTATATTTGTGTGTCTAATGTAGCAGCGGGCGAGACTACCGCAGTCTTTCGGAATTATTAGGTTTTTATTGGTGTTTCCGTTACTGGACATTCAGTCACAAATATACTAGGCCACTAGGCCACGAGTGAGTGCAAAGACCCTGTTTCTGTTTCTATTGATTAAGGTCCTAGGCACAATCGGAAAACTTTTTTATTCCCTAAAAATAGCGCCAAAAACTCCTAGAATGAATTAACTTTGAGAGTCTTTATGAGCTCCTTTTGTGACTTATGGAAAAATATACCTAAGGTCTATCGAGGAAGTTCTTTTTTATACTACGATCGTGGCAAACAAGCTTCCCATCTGATGGTAAATGGTATTTGGAATCTTTACTAATTAGAAACCACAGGGTAGGTAGTAGTTATGGCTCAAGACGTCAATATGTCAAACCGAAGTCATGTGAACGTGTTTTTTTTTTTCAAGGGATGATAATGGAATGGTGCGTTCGCCTACGCTAACGGTATTACGCTGGCGAGGCACAAGTGGTAGATGATAAATGAGTATAAAGTCAGGTTACTTAACCTATCGTGGGTAATTCACAAAGAATTTAACATGATGGTTTCAAGGGGGAACCGCGTGGAGGTCAACCTAACATGGTACATTGCAAGCAATGGGGTTATTAATCCACATTACTAACAATACCCTTCCCCCATGTGAGAGTGTTATCTACCACGACTTGTTGGATTTAATTAATTTTTATTTACTTGTACACTTTTCATCAATGATTATAGACAAAATGTTTTAACAGCAACCCCTACAATAAGCTCAAGGCTAGTGTTGCAGCAATTAGAAATCTTTAATTAGAGAAACTTTAACTTAAAACAGGCTTCAATTCAACTAAATACAAAATTAATCAATATTACATAGGAAAGTAAGTAAGTTTTTATGATCAAATTACCTTAAGCATGCGTATTTCCCTCAACGCTATCTTCCTGATGAGCGGGTCATCCTCGTTCTCCACAAATTTCTTGACCGCTACAATTTCCCCTGTGTCCCTATTACGACATTTGTATACCAGGCCATAGGAACCCTCGCCAAGTTTGGCGAGTTTCTCATAGCGCTCCATAGCGCGACTGCTCGCGCGGGATCTGCATATCAAATCAAATCAAATCATTTATTTGCAAAATACAGTGCTTATAGGTATATACAATATTAAATATAATGTCCAGTGTATTCAGTATACAGACGTGTAAATTTTTATATATTATTATACTTATGTCATTCTAATCAATAATAAAAAGAAAAATCAATAATTAATTAAAATAAATATGTCATTAGAATTAATTGCACATAGAAATATTCACGACTATAATTCCAAGTGGAATAGTCAGAGGCATTGTCAACTATAATAATAATAGAAATAATATAGTATAGTATATTATTTGATATAGATATTTGAAAATAATACGAGCTGAGTTTCTTTTTAGTTCTTCTCATCTCGAAATTATTCCGAATTGTATATTTGACATATCGTAACCTATACTCGTTACACACCCGTCTCTGATTAACGTGATTTGTTATCGGGGTGTTTATCAAGCGAGTCAGTGAGGTATTTAAATTTATACAGTTTTTTTGTAATAGCTCAAACCAAACTGACGTCCTTGAGGTGTAAAAAACTAAATAGTAAGCCAAAATAATAAACGAGTATTTCTATACAAAATACTAGGTTTTTAGGGAAAAGCGTACTGAACTTATTGTCTATATATTTATTTTGTTTCCAGTTAACTCTCTACAGAATTCTTAGAACAAAAGCCATTAGCCATTGATTTCTATACCTATGTAACTCTTATTTTATTCATAATCGTAACGTGTTTCGAGAACTGAAAAGTTATAGGTAAATTTCAACTGAAATGGAAAAGAAAAGGGATTTTGTGTGTAATATTATTATTAATAATATCTAAGGACAGTTCATACAACACCACCTAATCGTAAGTTATGGGTATTAGATAACTGATATAAATATATATTTATAGATATTTTTTTGTAAATACATACATAATAATAGAAAACACCCAGACCGATACAATCAATCATACTCATAATTGCTTGTACCGGGTGAGGAATCGAACTAACGACCATAGGAAGTAAGGCGGTGTGCTAAACCAAGGGAAAGGACATGGAATTTAGACTACACATTTAATTTGGCGGTTACCTCCACTTTACAATACACACTCTCATTTTGTAAAACGCACAGAGTAGGTTATAACCATCAACTACAAATGTTACAAATAAAATCAACCAAAGACAATAGAATTACAATTATGATATTGAAAATTTAAATGAGTTTAATTATGAGTTGGTAGATACATAGATAATTATACAAATATATTTTTTTATGTGTATAATTTATAAAATGACAGCCATCACGTTATCTATTTAATTTCGATATGGAATCAGTACACATATTCTAATCGATATGTAATCATCCTTGAAATATTAATAACCGAATATAACGTAACTACTTGTGTTTCGGATACTAGCGGCCCGTTCCGTCTTCGCCCAGATCTACCGATATCCATTTAATACTAGAGTTACCTGCAACTCCGTTTGCTTTTCGTGCACGGTATTTTCATTTAATAATATTAATGTTTAATTTGTATAACCATAAGATAGAACAATAATAGGAGCAGTATGTAATAGTTGAAGTTAGTTAGCTAGGCAATCAAATGGTAGAAAGTTGCGCAATACAAAATGAGAACCCTGATAACCTAAACTATGTATTACACCTGTGCTATAGCTATCAGTGCTATCTTGTAACATATGTATTACATTTATTAGACGCAGATATTTAATGGTTTGTGTCGTGTATTTTTGTTTTTTTTTTCTTTTGTAATGGCTTGGCACTATGGTGTATTTGCCAACATCAAAGTTTGGGAAACTATAGTACAGGATAATTTTGAATTTTGGATATGGATCAGAGAAGTTAAGGAGAGGTTTATTTATTTCATTAAATGTATTTTTGTTCATTTGTTATATTTTATATAAGGTTAGACAAAAACACCTATATAACCTTGTCAGTTCTTCTCGATTAAATATGTATACTGAACTGGTCAGTAGGGTAAAAAAAATAATAATACAATAAAACGTGATGTTCATAAGTGGCTAAAATGTCCTACATGAATTATTTTCGATTTAATTTATTTTGATTTGAACAGTCTTCAAAAAAGGAAGTATTTCTCAATTCTACTATATTTATTTTGTACTATACTTAACATGTACTGTATGAATGTATAGGAAATTCAGTTGAGTTTCTGGGCAGTTCTTCTCAATCTGTATATTGAACTGAAGGGCAGGGAAAATATATTAATATAACAAACTTGACATTCATAAGCGGCTAAAATGTCCTACATGATTTTTGATTTGTTTTAATTTTAAGCGTCTTCAAAAAAGAAAGTATTTCTGAACTGTACTATATTTTTTATGTATAACGTGTCCTCTACGAATATCTGACTATTTAAAAATGCAGACCTAACTTTGTGCACATCAGTCGTCTATGCAACATGCTGTTCCGATACGGATCGATGCTATCTAAGTTGACCTTTTTAAAGGTCAACTTTGCGCTACTAAAGCAACCCGTAATTAACCCTTATCAGCTGATTTATTTAGGTGGAATTATTCCACAATAATACAGCTTACCTAAGCGTACGTGTTAGGCACTTCAGATGTATTGCTTTAACTTATACACTGCTTTAGCCATGCCAGTAAAAAAAAAAGTATATTACCTTTTTAACAGATGTCGTGTTCTTTTTTTTTATTTTTTTTGTTGTTACAACTAAAGCCAGTTATAAAAATAAAAAAAATATATTACTTTTTAACAGACCCGCGACGTGTTTTTCCTAATATAAAAAGTATCCACATCCGTCCTTGTGATAGATATCTACAATTTATCTTCATGTCAACCATTAAGGTCCGTTATGTCGTTTTGTCATGAATAGGAAATAGACAGACAGACTTTCGAATTTATAATACTTTTTTGAAATACCTTATTAATATTATAAACGCGAAAGTTTGTGAGTATGGATGGATGGATGGATGTTTGTTACTCTTTCATGCAAAAACGGGCTTTAATGAAACTTTACAGTAATCCTAGCTTGAATAACATATAGGCAATAATTTAAAAAAATATTATGTTAATTGGGCGAAATATAAAGATAAATCAAGGAAGTGAAGCAGAAAGCAGTCGAAACTGAATAGGTAAACTAATACTTCATAATATTTTATTAACAGTAGGACCAGTATAGGTAGTAAAATAACAATAGTGATAATAATCTCAAGACAATTCACTGAGCGCCATCTAGACCCAAGTTAAGATACCTAAAGCTTGGTTGTACTGGCTAACTGATATAAATACATAGGTGTTTTTCGTAAATACATATATATTATACATAGAAAACATCCAGACTGCCTACCGAGGTTGTATAGATCAATTCCAAATTCCATATTATAAAAGAAGGATAATCTCTAATTCCACTTCATTTTTTTTCTTACCCAATTACGTCCCTATGGCTACTTAGATCTGATTACAAATCTATGATCTTTTACTTATTGATCCTCTTCTAACATTACAATTTTTTTCCACAACAGTAACCTTGTTGTGGAAAAATAAAAAATTACATAGAATATAATGTAATATAATTAAATAAATTGAAATCACCAGAAGGGTGTATCATAACTTTATTTTTTTTTTCATATAAGTTAATAAGGTCTTTTGCTTATTGACTCTCTTCTAATCTTTATATATAAAAATTACGTGTCACGTTGTTTGTCCGCGATGGACTCCTAAACTACTGAAGCGATTGCAAATTTGATTTGCACATTGTCTGCATTTTGATCCAACTTGAAAGATAGGATAGCTTACATCTTATATTATATTTTTTCTACAACAAAGTTATTTATAAATAAATACATATTATATGTATTAAAAACTTAAAATGACCGAGAAATAAGAAACCCATGACATTATAGGGGAAGTGGCGCATTCAGTCGTTAGAGGTCAGCGGTGCAATTTAGTAGTATTTAATGATAGGGCAACTGCATCTATCCTATATAAACCTACACTCAATTGTGAAAGTTGTTTAGTCAACTCTGCTATGGAATCTATGCTCTAATATATAGGTATAGCTAATCTAGGAGCCTCTACTAAGGTTTCTAGAAAGATAAACGTAAGATTATGAACCTATTATGCAAGTGCATTTTCGATATTTACATATTTGACGGTCTTGATGGTCTACCGGTTTAGCACACCGCTTTACTTCCGATGGAAGTGAGTTCGACAATAAATCATTTATATTATGTAATACGTGAAAGCTCATTCCTTGCCGTTCAGGATGACTAACGTATCCTGCTTCCGTACTATGTATTTTTACTCTATGAATTAATATCACGATAATTTCTAGAAAAAATCGCGTGGAAGAAATTTACCTGTCAAGGTATAATGGTAGTAATGAAGTAAATAACTCAAAAATCCTCTTTACTATGTTACAACGTCTACAATTACAGTATATCTGATTATAGTACTCAGACGCGGTATGGAAGGGATTAGATTTGTGGCAACATCGCCAGTTTAACAGTTCAGTCATTTCCCGGTCACAAAAAAGACAGAGAAAGTTGTTGGAGTCGGGGAATTTGAGCGGCAGTGATAAAAGTGTTCACTAACTGGTACTATTATAAGAACAATTAATTATTATATATTACTGACGCATATATATTATTATATGTAAATATTTATTTATATATGTGAATAATATTTGTTTATATTTTAATTGTATTATCAATTTATTTACATAGCCTAATTGTACAACTAAGAACCTAAAATTAAAAAGCTTAAAAAATATAATATAGTGACTAAAATATATTATTAAAATTAAAAGGGACCCCCCTTTAGGCAACGTTCCGAAGATACTGGCAGCGTTCCTTCTTTGAATAGCTAGCCTAATTCTTTGTCCAAGGTGGCTGCCAGCTCTTCGGTCTTCTGTGATGTCGACAAACCTTTTCGTTATTTCTTTGAAAAGTCTTATTGTATCTCATAGATATATATACATATACATTATATTTTTTCGATCTGTTTATATTTTGTTTATCGTTTATTATATTTGCACCGTCAACAATTATTCTCTGCACCACATACGGTTGACTGGTAGAAAATGCCGCATGATGTTAAATCCACCAAATGTACTGCACTATATATTGTATTGTGTGCATTAGTTAAATAAATAAATATATTGGACACAACGAGTTTTTCTGCCGTCCTGCTACTGACGACTACAAATCCACAACCTCAACCCAAGAGTGTAATGGTCAAGGGCTCTCGCGTCGCCAAAGACCGACGCATGCCCTGACGATATAGATTGGGAACATATGCTACCGTCCAATTAAATGAGAGACAACCAAACTAACTAACTAGTAAAGTCTAAAATTTAATAACCAAACTCGGCTACCTGAACGCGACAACTTCAGGAGACGTGATAGACCTATTGATCTCCCCTTTCATTGTTCACTGTAATTTCATCCATATGATGATGCTGATAAATTTCACAATTAGTTTTCAACCATAATTTAACGCGTAATCGAATGATAAACCTGATAGTGCAACGTGAATTGCTTAACTTATCATATGGAGGTAACTTTGTATTATGGCATCAGGATGCAGAATTCAATATATTTGACATATGCATATTAACTGGCATAATCTGGCAGAATAAAGCTTATGTTTACTTAACAAAAGAAAAAGTCTGAATATAACTATGCAGTCTTAATGACTCTGTGTATATTATGTATGTATTTAGAAACAAAATATATTATCAGGTGTATGTATATTACCCATAAGACAAGTTTTATATATGTATTTATAGAAGATAATGTATCTATGTATTTATATCAATTATCTAGTACTCATAATGCAATCTCTGCCTAATTTGCTACTAGTTGGCGCTGTGTGAATTGTCATGAGATATTATATTAGTGACATGGTTACACTCAAACTGATTTTTTAAGGTTAACAGTTACTAGAATATATTTTCGTTTAGTTAGTTTTTTTATTATTATTTATATTATGTTCAAACGGAGATAAGGGTCCATTTGAAAACCAGAGCCCCACAGTAGGCATCTGTCGGAATACGCTAAACTGTTCAGCGTCTTTTACCGTCTTTACCGTCTTTTAAATATAGTTTCTTACGCAATTTCATTACAATTGATTATTCTTATACAATAGGTATAGGTAGGTGTAGGTAGATTAAATGTTAATTTAGTATTAATAGTTAAACCGTCTTTATGCATGCAGAGTCAAGACTCAAACTCCAGTGTGAAGAGTGTATTATATTGCTGAGAACAAGTTATTGAGCTTAACTCGTCAGTTGGTAATGCATGCAATGTATCGACATTCATGGATATGTTAAAATGTCGTATATATTAATATACGACAATTTTCATCAGATAGACCATCAGCATGTTTGGCCTGTCAAACCCATTCTAATCGTATTATTATCATTTTTATTTTTCAGAAAACTTTATTTGTCCTCGGGAATAACAATTTACGGGGAGGAAAGGGGATTGTTCGTAATGTGCCATTGCTTATTGCTAGCAATGTACCATTCAATGTCCATTACGCGGTTCCCCCTGGAAATTATCTTGATAAATCTTGGTGAATTTATCACGATGGGCTAACTAACCTGCCCTCATCCTCATCTTATCATCCTCCACTGGTGCCCCGCCAGCGTAAACCGGCAGGCGGCACCATTCCATTATCAACCTAAAAATTTCATTTCGTTTAGACTTTCCTTTATATCTATCATCGTCCTATTTAAATGTATGTTCATCATGGATCCCCCTGGAACCCATCGTGATAAATTCCTGCTGACTATGCCACGATGGACTTCATGGTCATTCTGTCATCCTCTACTGGTATCCCCGCCAGTATATGCCCACCGTTAGCACAAGTGAGTGCACCATTACGCTATCATCCTTAAAAAACCTAAACTTTATATCATATGACGATTCCGTAAGCTTGTTTCCCAGTAAAAAGTATATTATGAAGTGTAAAGAAATGTTTACCTTCTCGGTAGCAGAGGCAGGTTGTTACCGAATAACCACAGCCGTTTATCACCGAACCATTTCTCCATACAGGACGCCACGTTGTTCCACAGTTTGAAATTTGACCAGTCCCAGAACAAGATCGAATTATTCATTCGCGTTTCCGAACGACGTCGTAATATTGCGCATTTCCCGCCAAAATATACGTCAAAAAATTTACGCGATACGCCTGGAAATGTAACGTAAATGAACAGTTCCAAATTTATTGGAGGTGTTGTCCTTCTGAAGGCTGAAGAGCTTATAGTGCTGGATGGTTGTACTATCGATCGCCGTTTTGTTTACACTTTCTGTTAGCCTGTGTACATGACAACGAGCAGCTACGGTGGTGGTAGGGAAAAATGTTGATTGGAAGCCTGATTATAGAATTAAAAAAAAATATATCAAGCGTTACTTATGTACGATATACTTCTTATTATTTATTTATATTTACAGTTACTTATAAATACCTCAATTTGTATCTACTAAGATTACTGTAATTAAAATAATTAAAGATTAGGTTATGAAATATTATTTATATATATGCATATCACACGTTGCTTATTATATTTGTAGTAGGTTTATATATAATTAATTTTAGAAGTTAAATTATATAGAGGTAATATATAGTAGGTATATACCTACTTATGTATTTCGTATTTTGGACTTATTGGGAACTATGCGAAGTGGTTGTCGTTACAAATGAGATAAAATATATTCTCCTAGTCATTAAAAAATAATCATCGAAATCGACCCACGTTGTAAAACAGGTTAGGCATTGTTAATTGTGCACTTGGACGGTGTCGATTTAGATGGAAGGCTGAAGTTGGGTAACATATTAAAATTATTTAAAATGAATACTGAAAGGTCAAAGGCAAAAGTTTATTCTATGTGTTCCGTAGATAGAGTATGTGTTATACTTTTTATGGTGATAAAAGCAGCAGTGTCAACGAGACGTAACTTGATAAATGGTCTAATGTTGCCACATTGCTCCTTCACGGTAGATATAGCCATTTTTCTGCCTACCTCTATTCATTTAAATCTTAAATAACATAATATCCAAACTTCCTACTATTAATAATATAAGGATAATAAGATAAGCATGAAGTCAGATTAGTAAATATATCGGGTGAAAATCATCAAGAATAGTATGAAACAACTAAACATTTTTATGCATTTACTTGTCTTCAGCCATACTATATGTTGGCAGTAAACATAAAATCAAAGTATTTCACCATTATTAAAATCAATATCCATTTCTTTTTCAAACAATTTTTAACTTTTATGCCTAATTTTATTTCTTTAAACAGCTTAAAATCTTAAACTAAGTTGGCAACATTAAAGACAAAGATCGATGCATTACATTCCGTCCTTTTCACTCACCCAATCGTCGTCAATGAATGAAGTCTTCTCGTCGTGCATGCGCGTGTCTACGATTCACTGATTTGACATTTGTTTTGTTGTCATTTTGTCAGTTTTGTCAAATTGTTCCCGATCAATGATTGTTTTTGTTTGTGATCATGTTGAAATGAGAATATTTAATTAGATTGTTCTACAAAAATGTGTATAAATTGACAATTTTAAATAACATATATACCACTTTACCCGGTTAATATAATACGCTGCATATTGTTTGGAAGTTATTGTTCTTTTGGCAAGGTCGAGGTACCTTGAAAATAAGCAACAAATCTGGAGTACCTACTGCGTTTACTAATGCGTTCTCGAATAGTTTTTATTACAGTGAGTGTCATTATTTTGTGATAGTGATAGTGAAGTGATAATGGGGTCGACAGGATTGACTCTGGCCGACTTGCCAAATATATTTATGATGATCGGCGCCCTCGTCGCTCTGTTTGTTGTATTGGTTATACTTCTCAGGTGAGCCATCTCTATCTATATGTATACATCTTGGAAAGTTGAAATGTTATATTGTTACTTTTACTGACTTTCTCTCCATAATAATAATAATAATTACAAATAAGTGCATAGTTATAGGTGTTTAGGTTAGGTTTGTATATTATTATGAGGAAAAACGACAACTTTGTGAAATCCTTTATCCTGTATATGAAAAGGAAAAAAAAGTTATCATGTTTTTATCCCTAACAATATGATGATACATAGATAGAATAGTCAATTGTTTATAAATTGTAACTACCTTATAATTTTCATTAATTATTTATTTCCTTTTCTTATTACTATTATTATCTTAATTTTTATTAGTATCTGCATGCCTTAGATAACAAAAAGAATACTTTTTAACATGAAAATTCATCATATTCTATAATATCATTAAAATTTCATCAGTGTTTATAAGTGGTTTGGCAAGTGCTTGATAAGTCTCCTTAGGAAATACTTATCTACTTTATACTATATAATTCATTATCTATTACAAAATATATTATCTAGCTACCTAATATATACCTAGAAATTATAGTTATAATTTTTGTTATCTAATTAATAATTATTGTCATCATTATTTTTTATATTGGCAATATAGTCGGGCAAAGGTATTCAGACTATACAGCTGATTGGTGCATATCCACTTATAACATGTACAAAACGTAATTGTTGTTATTATTATTGTTTTTTATATTCGCCATATATGCAGGCAAAGGTCTTAGTCTATACAGCCAGTTCTTAGGTACATTTCTACTAATAATATGTATAATTAATAATTGTTGTTACTGCCATTGTTTTTTATATTCTCCATATATGCAGGCAAAAGTCTTAGGCTATACAGCCAGCTCTTTGGTGCATCTCCATTAATTAATAATATGTAAATAAATTGACAGACCTTAGTGACATGCCATTTATGAGTGTTTAAGAATGTAGATCTGATGAAATAAGAAATTTAATGGCTATATGAGGATTGCAGTAAACCTGTTAAATGAAATTTAAATAAGCATAAACACTTAATTATGAATTCAATTACTATAGTACATCTACATTGTATAGCTAAGTGGAAGTCATTATCACGGCATAACAAATGTTATGTTTATAAATTGATAAGTAAACCTGATAAGTTACAATGTTTCTTCTTAAATTAAATGACCTTTATTATTAAACAGAGAATAGAGTTCAATATATAACAATAGACTCTGAGATTATTGGTCATATCCATAAAACTTATGAAGCCTTTATAAATCCACTATAACAGTGGTTTATATAAATCTCTATTCATGAAGCTCTATAAAGCTTTTATAACTGTTCAATAGCAATCAGTTCTATAAACCCTCTATAACTCTATGATAAACCTCGGATAGTGAAAAATGCTATTCATAAACACTAGCAGTTAAACACACTGCTTTACTCCAATAGTTGCAGGTTCAAATGTTCCATGATACAAACATGTAACATATATATGGTTTGGTCACCTCAGATGTATCATCGATTAAATAGAAAAATGACATTTTCAAAATTAGAAGCTAGAATTGCCTCGTTTTATATAAGTCAATTAAATTAACCACACCGTCTTAATCATTATCTAAATACTTTTAAAATGATATATAATTCTTCTGTGTAAATTTAAAACTTTAAAGGAAAAAATAATTTAAATAGATTTAAAAAATATTTTAAATACATGTACCCCGTATGTATGAAGCCGGGCCTAGTTATTTCTATAGAATAATTCATAATGTTTCTTATGACTATGTGCCTTTGAAGACTGTATCCTTATAAGACTCTTATTGGAAACTAATTTCAGTTCTTCATACTCAAGTGCTATTCTAAAAGCAAATTTTAAAAAATGCTGGTAGCAGATCAAATCAGGTAAACAGTGGTAGTCCCCTTTCTGGTATAGAAAAATTAAATATATTAAAGTAATGCTAATTGCCAAATTATAATTTGACTGCCTCTGTGGTCTAGTGGTTTAACCCAATGCTTTACTTTCAATGATTGCAGTTCGATTCTTAGCATAGTACAAACATTTGTTTTTATGAGTGCATTGTTATGAGTATCATTCATTGTATTGTTCTGAGTATTATATTGTATTTATGTTTATACAAAAAAATATCTATGTATATCTGTCAGTTGTCTAGTACCAGTAATAGAAGCTCTGCCTTGCTTGAAACTAGATATTTCTGTTTGAACTCTATCTCGATCTTATTATTTATTAACTAGCTGAGTCCAAAACTTCATACCTGTATAATGTTTTTATATATAAACTGGTAGGAATAAAACAAGCTTAAAAGTATTAAATAAAGCTTACCACAATGCATTAGTGAAACCCACACCCACATCGTTTCATCCATTTTAGACATTAAGGTGCACAAACATAAAGACAAATAGCCAAAAATTCTAACAATAAATGTTATGGGTTCTATTATGTTAATAAATTCCTGCAATAGAATAGAATATAAATAATTTTTATTTAAATAAACTTACTTAATATAAGCACTTTTGAATAATCACATTTTTTTATTATTCTACTGGTCATTCTGAATGCAGACTCATCACAAAAAGAATGAGCAAGGAATTTGTGTGTTGCCCTCATAAATCTAATAAGCCAGTTATCAGTAAAATTCTTATTATTCCTACAGATGATAATTCTTATTTATTTGTGTATATTTCCCATTATCTAAACTACCTACTGGTCCTACTGCCACTAAAATATTATGAAGTACTTAGCTGCCACGCTAACACTTACTTCACTTTTATCATTATATTTCGCCCAATTTACATAATATATTTTTTAAATTATAGCGTTTGTTATTCTGATGGATAAGCTATATTACTGCAAATTTTCATTAAAATCTGTTCAGTAGTGTTTGTGTGAAAGAGTAACAAATACCCAACTATCCATCTATCCATCCAATCTTACAAACTTTCGCATTTATAACATTAATAATAATATTGAAAGCAGAATAGATCTATGCAGGTCACAGTACTACAGGTCTTAGCACCTGATAATAACCAAAAACCTTCAATAAAAAAAAAATAGTTTTTCCTTGAGAAATGGGCACCGCAACACAAGAAATAATCCTCAAAATTCTTTATTATTATTTGTACAGCTGCAGCAAACAGAACTAGTAATGTACACATACATTGTGTGTTATCAGATAACACTGTGGACTACACTTGTTGTTGTTATTCATTTTTCAATTTCTTTACTGGTTAGTTATGTATTTAATTTTTGTGTTTATATTATATATAAACACAAAAATATATTATATTATAAGTATATCCAGTATTACTTTATTGTATGCGCACATACAACAAAATAATAAACAAGAAAATTAAAGAAAATATAAACAAGTACCTATACTTGTTTATATTTTCTTTATTGTTCAAAGTGTTATCTAAAAGTACAAATAAATGATTTATCTAACTGTCTACCTATGTAATTAGTGCAGAGGTCTTTAAGTTTAGTTTCGTGATAACAAAATCCACTATAGCTCTTAAAAATATTAGTGACCTCGTATTTATTTTCATTTTATATTATAGATATCATAACAAAATACAGAAAATCTTCTTAAAATGTTAGTACTTAAAACCATCTAAATTTAGTTTTATTTCATAGTTAATAATAATATGCTTGGACAATTAACACAACATCATCTAGTCCCAACGTAAGCAGACCTGTGTTATGCGTACTGATATAAATACTTAGATTTTTTTTGTAAATACGTACATAATTGTAATTTATTAAAACAACCGCGTTCGACTATCACTGCACTCCCTAAGGTAGGCTGGTAGAGAATGCTATTAGCATTAAGCCCGCCTATTGTACAAAATCAATAAAGTTTTAAATAAATAATATTTCATATATGCATTCAGAACCGAGCAGCCAGAATCATTGGTAATCAACGTCTATATGACAGACTCGACCCATTGGCTTTGCGGCGAGATATTGCATCTCTGTGCATTTTCTACCGCATATATCACGGGGAGTGTTCTGAGGAATTGTTCGGATTAATACCAGCTGCTGAGTTTCACCACCGTACCACCCGCCAGAAACTCAAATACCATCCTGATCATCTGGATGAATGGCGGTCTTCCACAGTACGGTTTTCTGCTAGAAACTTTTTGCCTCGTACAACCACATTGTGGAATCACCTTCCAGCAATGGTATTTCCGAACCGATACGATATTGAAACCTTCAAGAAAAGAGCTTATTCCTTTTTAAAAGGCCGACAACGTACTTGCAATTCCCCTGGTGTTGCGGGTGCTCATGGGCGGCGGTAATCACTTACCATCAGGTGAGCCGCAGGCTCGTTTGGGCCCTGTGTTATAAAAAAAAAAATAAATAAATAATATACATAGAAAACATCTAGACCAATACAAGCAATCATTCATGAATTCAAATGTTTGAACCATGCTAGTTATTGAATCCGCAACCATCGGAAGTAGTGTCCTAAAGGATTAGATCACCAAGGCCTTTAAGTATAGATAATAAAATAAAGAAATAACAATAAATTAATTTATATTTATGATACAAAAACTGTATATGGCAATATCTCTGCCCTTCATAACTTTTTAATTATACCTACTGTATTAAATTATTCAAGTACCTATAATTAACATAATGATTAATTAATTAATTCTGATTTAATTACTTTCTTTTATTACATTTTAATGTTGTTAGCATTTCAAATATTTAATTACAATGTCTGTTATGATTACACAATTATTATATACTAGCTGTACCCGCAAATTCGTCCGCCTGGAATTAGTTAAATTATATATTTTTCTAAAATGAAAGATTTTTTCCAAAATAAAATTAGTCTAAGTTACTCCTTATTACATCAGCTACCTGCCAAAAAAAGTCCCGTCAAAATCGGTCCAGCCTTTTCAGAGATTAACCGAAATAAACAGACAGACAGACAAAAATAGTAAAAAAAATATTTTGATGTATGTACCTACCGTATTTATTTTCATATGCATGTGTAGTAAAAAAAGTATTAATAATTAAACGGTAATTAAAAAATGTCTGGTTACTTTTTAAGTAGTACAAGATTTTAATAATATAATAATCTCAGTACAATTCACACAGCGCCATCTAGACCCAAGTTAAGCTAGCTAAAGCTTATGTTATGGGTACTAGACAACTGATACAAATACATAGATATTTTTTTTTTCGTAAATACATACATATTATACATAGAAAATACCCAGACCCACACAAACAATTATACTCATGAATACAAATGTTTGTGCCGTGCGAGGAATCGAACCCGCGACCATCGGACGTAAAGCGGTGTACTAAACCACTAGACCACCGAGGTCGTCAATTTTGGTTTGTAATAACTCCTATTAGGTCTTATATTGTACTTATTGCCTGCAACTTTATCTGCATTGTTTAAGTTTGTTGCTTCTCCATTTTCTACTTTATATATCTTCTTCCCTAATGTCGACTGTATAATTACTTTTTGGTAAGTATATATATACCAGTTATCAATAATTTTATTTAAATTTAATCATCTCCCTTTTTTGGTTTTGGCAACAATATAGTGTAACAATGCATTTTTTTCTAACTAGGAAATTAAAATTAAATGACTACACATTTAGATATCTGAATCCGTATATTTGTACTAATATAAAGAGAAAGAGTGGGTTATGGTATGAGGAAATTAAACACTGGAACCACTGCGCCTTCTGTAATTGACTGAGATTATTCCAGAATTTGAATGGTTGCATAATCTTATGCAATATTAGATCTTCGCTTTAATATACTGTTATAAAATTCTACAAACCTGTTCAAGTTATGAGTATCCGATCAAAGCCGGGGCGGTCCAATAGTGTTTAATAAAACATTAAGAAATTTGATAGCTTTTTTTACGTATTTTATAAGGAAAAAGTAAGAACATTAGTGCCCTCACACATTTCCGGTAAGAGTTGTACGACTTTAGCTACGGCGCCTTCCCATTGGCTCAAAGATTACTACGCCCCGCCCTCTTCAGAAATGCACCAACCGAACAGCGCCGTCGGCACAGGCCTCCCGGACTAAACTGTATTATGTGAGCCCAGGTTTATGGGATTTCCTTTGAATAGGTATAAATAGATAGAATCATCAATTAACACAAAGAACTGAATCATCAAACGGTGAAGTTCAAGGTTGGAGTGCCGTGCCCATGATTTCCCATATTCGGACGTCGATACGTTATTAATATTTACAAATATCACACGCATAGGTACTAGTATTATAACTAGTAACTCGGCCCGGCGTGTCACGAGTTTTTTTCTGAAATATATAACGAACTACGTTACTTTCTTATTCAGTCGTAAATGATTTATAAGCTTTTCGATAACTTGGGTTACTTTACAACATCTTCGTGATTTTTTTTTTAACTTCTAATGCCGCAGATGGCCGCTGCTGGCCTTTACAGCTTCACCGAACGATAGGGGCAAGTGCAATGGCACTCCAAACCCGCAGACGGATGGAGCGGCTGAAGACCAACGCTGGCCTAACGAATACAACTAGTCTGAGGGCACCGCTAGGGGTTTTAACCTCGGCTCAGATCGTAAATTCGATCCCCGATCGTAATGCCCCTGCTATTCATGTGCATAGGCAACCTCTTATCATCAGGTGGGCCGTGAGCTTGTTTATCATTCCAGTAAGATAAAAAAGTTAATCTTCACTATAAGGAATCTCTCAAAACCAAGAGCGAATAGGTATACTCGTACATACATTGTGAAATTAAATACATAAATATTCTAGGGAATGTAACTGGTTATCCTTCGTACAGGCCAGTATAATGACCTAGTAAGGACACCAGTGGCATTATGTAATGTTGAGACTAATGTTAAGAATATATCGTAAACTCAAACTGTAATAACTGCACTAAGAAATGTAATAATAATTTACATTGTGAAATTTACGTTGAGACCTGTTGTTTAAAGATATGTAGGTAGAATTTGTAAAAAGTTAGATAGATAGATGATTTATTTGCTTGAACATTTACAATAAAGTTATCTGCATGGGTACTTCCGTCTATCTAGAAATAAAAAGAATAACATTCATTTCGGAAAACTTAACTAACATTTTATCTATGCATGCATGGTGGAAGTAAGTTTAACAGTCAAAGTAACATTGGTATTTTATATTTCAGTTACAAAGCACATTGGTTCGGAAGCTTCCATTACAGAATGTGATAAAGCAGTGAAATTACCGGATAAGATGTATAACACCTTAGTCCTTTTCAATGACAATGCAAAATATACAGGTGGAGTATGATAACGTGATGTCATAGTGCTGTTCGTGTATATAGGCGACGTTTAGGTACCACTAGTTCTATTCGGGGATATGGCGACGATTACCACTTACAGTTAGTAAGGCAGTTTGCTCTTTTGCTATTGATACTACATTTTTTTTATATTGTTCCAGAAATATGGAAGTGATTGGAGTAGTCGGCGAGGGTAGAGATGTCGCGTGGACTCGCGCCATGCAGCCTCCCAGGTTACTGATGCAGAGGGTACACATACCCTTCACCTTCAAGCTGAAGGAGGACGACCCTCTTGGGTACTCAGGTATGTCACCAAGATATATGACTATTCAAAAGTGCTTAAAGTAAGTTTATTTGAATAAAGGATTTTCTATTCTATTCTATATCATGTAGGATTTAACACGAATTATATCATGCTATACATATATTTGTAGTAAATGCGCCCCTCCGATCTATACGCTGTCCAGTTCCAACGGGAATCGAAATTAAGGCTGGCTGAGCCGAGGTTCGAACCCCTAGCGGTGCCCTCGACTAATGTCATACCCGTCAGGCGGGAGTTGGCCTTCAGACGTTCCTTAAGTCCTTCCGCGGTTTTGGAGTGCTATCTGCATTCGCCCCCTATCATCCGGCCAACAGTATTAGAGTAGTCCGAAAAAAAGCAAATGTAAGAGAATGTAAATAAGACGAGTTTAAAAAGGCTGGAAATTGATATCCTATTTAAAAAAGACATGTTTGTAGTCGATTTACAGTTTTTCCAAAAAATTGGTGCCTGTAATGATTTGAAGAAGACAAAACCTTAAAAAAACAAGGTTTGAGACGCAGAATTTAAATAAAAAACAGAAGACGAATTCGTGTGCGTTACGGGTACGAATGTATAAATAGAGTAAGTGCAATCATATCTTCCAAGTCTGCGAGATTTATTTTGTTCAAAATCGTCTGGGTACATCTGTTTCACCTAAATTAGCCGCTCAGCAGCATGGTTTTTAAGATTTGTTTCGGTTGAGAGATATGACACTGTAGTTCAGGAGTTTTTTTTAGGCATGATAATGGAATAGTGCACCCGCCTGCGCTAACGGTTTACAAGGGCTTCAGTGAAGGATGATAAAATAAGCATGAGGTCAGGTCAGTTAGCCCGTCGTGACAAATTCACCAGTAATTTATCACGATGGTTTCCAGGAGAACCGCGCGGAGGTCAACCTGACATGGTACAATGCTAACAATGGGGACATTACTCTACATTACTAACAATCCCCTTTCAAGCCCCTGAACTAAGGGGGAAAGAATGAGTGGTAGAATAAAAACATAAGACATAAACACATATTTTACATCAAACTTGTTTATTTTAACCCACTTACTGCATTTTATTTATTTCATATGTATGTTAATCCAGTTATCTTTACCTTGAATACAAGTTATTTTACCTTGATCTTACTTTTACACTATTTTTGTGTTAACCTAAAATATACTCATTAATAAATTATTTGTTACGTCAATATATTTTAGAAATAAATGTGCTTAGTGCAATATAAAATTATTTAGTTTTTCACTAAGAATGTGGTAAAGTAATATTGGCAACACTGTCTTTAAATTGATTAACTAAAAGATAATTTCCAGGGCCGTAAAAATACTTAATAAAATGTAAAGAAATTTAGTCACGACTGAACAACTTGTTTCATATAGTAGGGTTTTTTTTTGTTTAAAAGTAAATAAATTTGTTATGAATGGAATAGAATCGGGTAATATGTGATGGTTAATGATTACCCTTAATGATTAGTTTGTTAATTAAATTGCAATTAGGCTAAAATACCCAAATTACTCAGTTCAATGATTTATCTCATACTAACTGTACCCGCGGCGCTGCCTGCGTGGAATATACCCTATATTACTAGCTAATCACCATCATAGTAGCATGAGTATAGCCATACCAATTTTTTGCTGCGTCTTCGCTCGCGTTAAATACTGCAATTTATTGCGCCCCTGCTAAAACCCCTCCTGAGAGGTTGTTTTACAAAAAATCATGTTCTTTAGATGTGCTCTTATAAAGTATCAAGTCGAAATATTTAAGTAATGTTCAAACTGAAACCCATTTATTCATGTGGTTCATAAATGAATAAATGAATTCAAACTTTCATGCACGTCTTATTTTTTATTGCTATCCCTACCGTACCGTTCATTAGCACCTTTAATACAACTGGCAAGGAATACAATTCATCTCATTTTAGTTGAATCTCTGTCTTAAAACAATATTATAGAAAATCAGCTTTCTGTCCAGCCATTTCAGAGATTAGCAAGAACAAACAGATAGACAGACAACATTTTTTTTATATACTTGTTGTTATTACTTTCATATGCATTTAGTGAAAAGTAATTTCAAATTTACATTTAATATTACAGACACTTCAATTTTATTTATTTGTATAGATAAACAAACAAACACAAAAATCAAATATATCCTCTTTATAATAATAATGTACCTGACATTATTAAATAATGTTAACCATTTAAAATTAATAGAATGTTAAGGAAAATAAAAATTAATTTGTAAAATAAATTACTTACGGCAGTGAAACCGAATTAAGATTCAAAATCCAATAAGTCTAGATAAAGGAAAGTGTGCACAAAGATTTCTTATTTGAATAACACGATACCATGTTCGTGGAGAGATTTGCATCTCATCAGCGAACTATTAATTGACGCCATAAAAAGAATAGGATGTTACATTTCTCTTTTATTTTGTGTCTGTCTGATAAATGCGGGCGTTACTTAGGGAGGGGACTGGCCTGTGCGAGGAATCGAACCCGCGACCATCGCAAGTAAGGCGGTGTGTTAAATCACTAGACCTCCGAGGTATATATATATATATGTAGTCCACTCTAGTACTATTATAGTATTTTGAACTCTGTATATATTCTACTTTAATTTGATTTTCCCATTACATCAAGTAGAGGAAAGGTTTCATCAGTTGATCTTGAAAGTACGAACTAGATATGTCGGTGGACTTGATGAGATAACGATATACAGACAGACGTAGCTGCCCGTGAGAGGTCGTCGACATGTCTTTTAATAAAACGCCCATTCTCTGATCAGTCTTGGCAGGAAGACCAATTACCTGAGCCAAAAGAGAGCTGTTATAGTTATTTGTTAGAAAATAATACGTGACCTGCTATATTTAAAGTTTAAAATCATGTTCCTTTATATCATCAAACTGATAACACATTTTGCTTTTACTTTGTCTTATAAATATCTCACGGCATTGCATGCCAGGCTTTTGTGCGCATTTAATATAATAAGGACGTACATAATAGATTTCAAACTATTTTTGTAATAAAAACAAGTTGTTTCACGTTGTTTTTTATTTGCAAGTGGGATCTGCTTGAACCGAATTAAATTAATAATGAATTAAATTTGAAAAGCGATCGACATTGGAATTGTAAGGTTTGCACCTTTTCCTACTATTGACGTTAATAGAATGAAGAAAAGAATTATAAAAAAATGGACCTAGTTATAATAATAATAATCTCAGGACAATTCACACAGCGCCATCTATACCCAAGTTAAGCTAGCTAAAGCTTGTGTTATGGGTACAAGATAACTGATACGTATACATAGATTTTTTTTTTGTAAATACATACATATTATACATAGAAAACACCCAGACCGATACAAACAATCATAGTCATGAATATATAAATGTTAGTGCCGTGCGAGGAATCGAACCCGCAACCATCGGTCGTAAAGCGGTGTGCTAGACCAACGAGGTCGTCAAACCTAGTTGAGTTTTTTGTCCGTTCTTAAGTAATTCCAATGCCTTTCACATTTTTTCAAATTCGTATATTGCTTTGTATAGTTCATATTAGGGCTATGAGCTAAAGATATGTCCTTTTTGGGTGAAAATAGAGTTTTACAGTTACGTATAATCTTAAAACAAAACTTGTTTAAAGAAAATCTGAGTAGTGTGAAATTTTGATATTAGTTCCTTAACCTATGGACAAAATTTAATCGAGTTTAATGAGTTATTATTGAAAAAATTGATAGTACCCCCTTTTGTATGCAAATGGGTCGGGGACATACAGCCTTAAAACGTCTTATGACACAAGTTGACGCTAGGTTGGCCCGGCTGTGTCGCCTTGAGATCAGGTATGGAATCGGGGAAAAGGTGATTGTTAGTAATACGGACTAATAACCCCATTACTAGCAATGTACCGTGTCAGGTTGACCTTGTTTCGGTCCCCTTGGATCATCATGATAAATTCCTGGTTCTTCGGTTCAGCTAATATTATCCAACAGTTACAAATACTATTAATATATTTAAACGGGTTTAAAACCCGTAATCATTTTATAGTAATTAAAGGTATTTTCCTCTCTGTACGTTTCGATTAGGTACCTACCAGCCGTGGTCCGGAGGGGATTGTTAGTAATGTGGATAGATAACCCCATTGCCAGCAATGTACCTTGTCAGGTCGACCTCCACGCGGTTCCCCCTGGAAACCATCGTGTTAAATTCCTGGTGAATTTGTCACGATGGGCTAACTGACCTGACTTCATGCTCAACTTATCATCCTCCACTGGTGCCCCGCCAGCGTAAACCGTTAGCGCAGGCGGGTGCACCATTCCATTATCATTCACAAAAAAAAACCCGTGTTGTTAGCGTTAAAACGCGATTATATATTATTAACAATATATATATATATATATATTAAATGCGAAAGTTTGAAAATGTGTAGAAGTGGAGTAAAAGATATTTTAAACAAGTTGCAACTTTGTTTCATAGGTTTGTTTGTATTGTTATCTCGTATCTCAAGAGTTCTGGTTTTCTTGGTAGTTGCACCTTTTTTTACTGTGATTTTAGATAATCTCTTATCAATGACGGGCCTGCCTTATTTATTGAAAGAAATAATTCGAATCTATACTATAAGTATTTTTTAAACGAAACAATATTACGTGAATGGTAAACAAATTATATTGTATTAACAAAATGAATCATCGACATTCTAGAAATGAGTTTGTACAATATCGGTACCACATAACAAGTTTATTGGTATGTGTACATAAAAATATCGTTGAATTGAATTTTCTTGAGTCAGTTGTTTAGATTTAGTATGACTATAATTAATCTAAATTATATTTGAACATTATTAAGATTCTGCTGTCAAAGATTGTACCTACTTCTATGCGAGTCGTGTCAAATACATGACGACGATCTATCTTTTTTTTATGGATTTAATACATTTTTTATGCATAATTAAAAAAAACAATATTATTATCTGCACTCCTCTGTATAAAATAAACTAATAGTTTTTTTTT